ACACATATCTCCCAAATCACCTTTTACTATAGCTCTTCTTGTTTTACTACATCTTTTTTAGCAGTTTTTAAAAATATTTTAATTAAATTTATTGGGGTGACATTGGTTAATACTACCAAATCATAACATACATCAATTCCAGAGCCTGTCTGATTAAATGCATTTTATATTTTTCCTATAAATTCCTTCTATATACCAGAGACTTTATCTTTTTTTAATCAGATAACCAAACCTCATGATTACTTTTAGAAAAATGCTTCTCAAAGTGAGAAAATACCTATAAATATTGCAACAAAAATCATTTTTAGTACCAGTACCTTGTACACTACTACCTACCTAAATCCAAAGCCAAACAGTGTATGACTCACAAAAATGTGGAGTGTAATTGTTTTACTATCAGTCTAATATAAGTATGTAGGTGGAGATGGAAAAAAAAAACAAATTGAGGGTTTGCAAAGTAGTAGTCTTGATCATAAACATTTACACAGAATCTAAGCAAAGGCTCTGGAAATCTAAGGGCACATACATCAATAACTCAGGAAGAGCATGCCTATGTGTTTGGCAGTTCTCAGGGCTGGAGATGGCGTGTCAAAGGAGAATGTAAGCACCTCTCCTAGAGTGTGAGCTCTTGAAGGGACTGATGAAGTCTCTTCCCTCAGGGAATATAATATCCTAGAGGAGGAGCTTATGTTCGAAGGAGGAGCTTACTAGGCCTATGTTCTAATGATTTTAACTTAATGAAAATCCGTTGATCATCTAATGTAGGCAGGTATTTTATAATTATGGGGGATAACATCGAAGAATAAAGGCGGGGGCAGCTCGACAAGAGGGAGAGGTTGGAGTAAGCCTGCACCTGGGTTCATATCATGGACAAAAGCTTTCATAATGCCCTGAGCTACCCAGAAGTTTACAATCGGAAGGTTAAAGGTCATCTTTGAGTGGAAGGAGGGAGCTAGATAAGCAGAGAAAAAAGGTTCTTTTCAAGAGGAGGATCTTTTATCAGGACTTTGAAGAATAGTTAATTTCTAAGAAACAGATATGAGAAGAGAGACTTAAATCTAATTTTTAAAATAAACCAAATGATGATATAGCAAACTGAGCTCAAAATCAGCTGCCATTTTGTATTTGTCAAAGTCATGTTCAAAGGGCTGGTTATTTAAATAAGGGAGGGGGGGTGTGCTGGTTACTTCTCCATTATAACACCAGAAGAGATGCCAGAGAAAGTTTTTGTCATTTGTAAAGGTGTACCAGAAAATAAATAGCACTTCCCATTTATTCTATGAGCACAGCACCTGGGTTTTCTAACTTGAAAAGTATAGTTTATTCCCTGGACTAGACTATACTGCAGCCTTCTCCACAGTTGTCAATAACTTGCTTAAATGTTTACTTTGATTCCCAATAGATTCAAAAAAACTAAACTCTCATTCTCTATGTGATAAAGTTCAGAGAAAAAATAGAGTTAAAAAGTTTGGCAACTGCCTACCTCTTCTATTTTAATAATTGAACCTCTACATGATATCCAAGTGGTAAAAAATAGCTTTTTCATAACATAAACATAACTTTTAAAATGACTTCCCAGTATACTCAACAGATTTTATACAAATTAACCATATTCTATATATACTCAAGGATACACATCTCTACTCAAAAAAAAAGGAAGAAAGAAAGAAGAAAGAAAAGAAAATGATCATTATGTAGAGAAACTTTGATGAGTTTACTTTTTATTATTTGTATTTATCAGCTCTACTAAAGATATATGCTAGCTCTCAATATTACTCATAGGCAATTCAATACATAAAATTACAAGACTAAAAAACACAATGAAACATGGTTTGCTCTAAAGCCTTTTTAATTTTTGCATCAGAATCATGAGGCTCCAAAGTACACAATTATCAATTGTCCCTCCCTTCTATTTTCCCCTAATGATTCAAAGCGTTTAAATATTTTTATTAACTCTTTCAAAGTGTCAATCTATTTATGAAGATATGCTTACCTAGGTACTAATATTGTTTAAATTATATTTCCAGTCCTCATTTTGGAACTCAAGACCCTATGAGATTTTTTTCACTATCCGTAGTCTTTGAACAAAAAGTAATACACATTTACCAGTAAGTGCTGATTTCTTTCTAAATGCATAAGGGAAAGCTGCAGATACACATTTGTCTAGCAGGGGGAGACTTTGTGCTTTCTGTGACCATTTCCTTAAAAGTAGTGCGGAAACAGTACTTACATTAGAACTTACTTCCAACATTCTTATGCCTGTGAGATGCTTTAAATAAGTAGAAAACTGATAGATATGTGTGAACATTAGTGGACATTTTAAGACCAATCTTTCCTGTACCATTTTGCACAGTACCATTCTAGGAAGAGAGTGCCCTCTATTTTCAGATCAGCTACCATGAGAACCCATTACCGGCCACTCCCTGGGATACATTTCAAGTTCTAAAGTACAGTTTTGCCTTCCTCAGCCCCGTTCTGGGTTCTTTTGTTTCTCAGTCTATAGACTGAGCCATCAAATGTTTGACATGACAGAAACAGAATCAGCACGTTCTACTAGGAACTTACATAAAAATTTAAAATCTCAAATAGAAGGAGAGAAAAAGAATGCAAAAATGGTCTATCAACAGATAACGGTGATTACCAGAAGGAAAGGGGGGAGTGGGGAGGTTGAAGGAGATTAAGGGGAATCTATAAATATATGGTGACGGAAGGAGGCTAGGCTTTGGGGGGTGAGCGCACAATGCAGCATACAGATGGTGTATTATGGAATTGTATGTTTGAACTCATATAATGTTATTTTTCAATGTCACCACAATAAATTTAATGTCTTGTTTTACTTTTCTTTTTTATTGCATTAATTGGGGTGACAATGGTCAACATGAACATACAGGTTTCAGGTGTGGGTTTCTATGTTACAAGATCTGTATACTGTACCATGTGCCCACCACCCAAAGTCAAATCTTCTGTCACCTTATATTAGGACCCTCTTCTCCCCCACACCCTTCTCTCTGGCAACCACCACACTGCTTTTTGTATTCATGAGCTTCAGTCTTATATCCCACATATGAGTGAAATCATATACTTCTTAGCTTTTTCTGACTGACTTATTTCACTTAGCATAATGTTTTGTTTTAAAAAGAACCAGGAATAAAGCTTATACAGAGAGAGAGAGAGAGAGAGAGAGAGAGAGAGAGAGAGAGAGACTGAGACTATCAGCTTTCCTGCCTAGAAGAACTTCAGAAATTTGACTGATCAGCCACTATAAAGATAACAGGGAGGGAAGAAAATACCCAAATGTAATAAGTGTACTAAGGGAGAATGGTGAAAAACAGAGATCAAACCATTCCTGGTTTAGATAAGCTTTATACTTCTGAGCATACAGATTGTAAAAATTGATTAATCACAGATTTTCAAGAACTGGCCAAATTAGCACTTGGGTGAACCCTAAGAAACTCACAGAATGTGGGATGCCTCTCAGGTCCTCTGAACTTTTCCACAGTTGCCAATTGAAACCCCAAACCAGTCCTATCCAATACGTTTCATTAATACCAAGACGGCTCACTTGACGTTTGCAAAGTCTAACATTCACTGGGAGCAGGGGTCAGCTCAGGCCCCTAGAGTAATTTGAGGCTCCTCTGCCACTGAACAAATAAGCGTCTTAAAGGAAGACACTCCAGGAGAGCATCTCAGAGATAAAGACCATAAAAGTACCGACAGGCTTCGGGCTCACTATGGTTTCTGGTTTCCTAAAAATAGCCCTCAGGGTACAGATCCCTCTCCCTCTTTGCCCTAAGAAAGCTGAAGAACTCTCCGAAGGGAGTGGCCACCTCTCTCTGAAACCTGAATCGAACTGTGAGGTCACAGCTTCCCCCACAATAAAAGGCAGCCTCCACCAGGGTGGCCCCACTCAGGGATTGGAGCAGCCCTCAACTCCTCATCTTCGCCGCTGTTTTGCAGCCCAGCAGCTCCATCATGGTGGGTCCTACGAGAAAAGAGTTTGTGATTTGCAGGAGGAAAGAGATAGGGGCTATCATCTTACTGAGAAAAAAGGCAGACATCAAACAGAATTGGGGAGATAGCATATTCAATATGAGTCTTTAGAATCTGCTTTGGGTTTTTGGTGAGGTGGGCTGAGGATAGAAGAATTAGAGCTATTATGCCAGCTGGAAAAATAAGACTTAGTTCCCAAAGTAGTACTTTAGGCTTCATCAATTTTTGCAATATCACATAAGGTTTATTATATCTAAATTTAGAAAGAAAAAAACCCTCTGCAACTATAGGAAAATATTACATCTTAAAAAACAATCCAGTGATGCCAATTTCTAAAGCTGAGTAATCTACTTCCGATGCATTAAGTAAAAATGTGATGGCTAAACAGAAGAACAACTTGTGGTGATTCTTTGCAATGCAATGCATCTGTACTTCTTAAAACAGTGTACCTGTTTTAGACATATCTTCAATATACTCTAGATTATTATCTTATTCCAGGAAGTATTTGACTTGGCCTCTGCTAAAGCATTGATTCATTAAAGAGAGATGTTCCCTAACTATCTTTTGCAATAGCTTTTTATTTATCCTAGACTCCAACGTATCCTCAGGCAACCTTCTTACTCTATGAAACCTACATGGCTTTTTAAAAATCTCAGGACAGACAGCACTCAATTCTGTCAATGCATTTGAAAGAGTACTAGCTGTTTTTTCTTTCTCCCTCTCGCCACTGCAGTCCTTCAGTGCTGACCAGATTGCTGGTAAGTGAATTGAGCTTTTCTACTTCAGAAGTAGGCAGAACACTGCCTAGTTTCAGAAATATCACTTCTCTCCAAGGCATGTGACTAACTGGCTCAACCTGTTAGTGTCCAAGCTATGCCTGAACTCTGAAAAGTAGGCTGACTTTGGGAGCTTACTTTAAAGATGACTCAGGGAATGAGCTTGGATACACTGTAAAGTCAGGACAATTTGGTTGGTTAAAATATTCTTTGTGGTTAATTTCTTTCTGACAGATCGAGTTCTCTCAGGAACAGCAGGAGGGTAAGTTTAAAAGATATTGCTGTTGATATGCGCACACTCAGAAAGATGGGTTTGGAAAGCCGACTCCCTCTGGATGAGATTAGTTCTTCCTAATGACCCCCCACTGGTGCTGCCACTCTAAAAATAAATGCTCTCAATCACTCTAACTTCTCTCAGCACCCCCAAGCAGCCCTTTCTTATAATTAGTAATCAGAGGTTAAAGCAAACAATAGATAAACACTACAAAATAGGCCCTTATATTCACTGATTTCTAAATATCTATATATACTAGTATACCCCCAAAAGATGTAGATTTTGGATGGCTAATTTGTTAATCAAATACTTAAAGAGAGATTTTGCAAGTCTGAATTGTTCAATTTGGAAAATAAAATAATTATTATAAAACTGCCAATGACCAAATCTACATAATCTCAATGGGCATTATAATGCATTGAGAGAAATGATGGGTAAAGTAGATATAGAATAAAAGTAAATTCACAGACAAAGAGGGAAGAGTATTTGTCATAAAACTGTGGGGGGAAACAGTAGAGTCTCCTGGTCCATCTTTAGTGACACAAGACAGGTTGCCAGGGAGGGGATGGGACTTGCTCAGGGAACCTAAGAATTAATAATAGGATCAAAATCTGGTATTAGTTTAAATTCATTAGAATTTCTTTCATAAAAACAGTTACTAACTAAAAAACTTAAACTCTTATGATTCAAGAGAATCAGAATACTTTCCCTAACACTCCCATTTTTTTCTCCTTTCAGTCTTGGAATCCAAGAATCCTGTGCCCTATAAGATCCTATTTTTTCACTAGAAGTGTACTGAGGCATGTTTTATGGAGTGAGAGTGTCACATATTCAAATAAAGTGAGATAGAAATAATCTATAAAAGAGAAGGGAAGAAAAATTAGGTGTATGATATATAACTTAGAAGATTGGTCATAATAAGTATCAATATTATACATGTTATGGTATATTTTATGTAATTTTAAATATAGGTGATTAATAAGGACCTATTCAAAGACTCAGTTCTCCACCTAAAGAATTCCACAGTTTCCTGTGTTTTAGTGTCTGGACTATCTCATGTTCAAACATCAATTAAGGAAAAAGAGGATATTTGCTGTAGTAGCTGTAGTACAGACTCACATGTATCCACATCATGGTTGATGGCCTCATGTAGAACAATTAGATAACTTCATGACTCAGAACTCAATATCCTATAAAATTATACTAAATAGGACTATTTTTTATTCAAAATAGTTGGTACTTCTACTATAATTTGTTTGATTTTTGATACATTTTTAACTAGTGATGCTGCAACATTTTCAGCTAATTACATCCAAGTCCTCTTAAATATCTACTTTACAGGGTCATTTTGAAAGCCAAACTATGGTAGGACCAAACAATAGAAGACTTTAAAACCCTTATAGGGACAGAAGGGAAGTTTAAACCTATTAAACTATTACATTGAGACCTATTACTTCATATATGAAATAGGTTTTAGATACAGAGTTTTGGTAAACATTGGTGTGGTGGACTGGTTTTTCTCTTGTGCCAGGAAAACAAATGTTTCTTAGCATTTTAAATGAAATGGAAATCTGATTTGTTCAGAAAGGAATGAAGACTTTCTTTGATTACTTTCTTGTTTAATGATTAAATAGTTTTACTCAAGGCTGTTCTATTTGAATGTTTCACAGGTTTGTAGGAAAGAAGAAATAACAACTAGAAAATCATAGCATCCTAAAGGTCTAAGTCCTCCTATGCTGTCCAGTAGAGTTACCACTGGCCACATGTGGCTATTTAAATTTAAACTGTAAATAGTTAAAAAATAAATTAACTATTTTAAAATAGTAAACATTTAAAATTCCATTTCCACAGTTGTACTAGTGGTCTTCTAGTGCTCAAGAATTGCAGGTAACTAGTAGCTACATTTTGGGGCAGCCCAGATATAGAACATTTCAATCATCACAGAAAGTTCTAGAACAGTATTGTTCTAGACAAGAGGCTGGAAAAAAAATTTTTAAAGGATCAAAGAGTAAATATGTTAAGCTTTATTGGCAAATGCAGTCTCTATAAAAAGAACCCAGATCTGTTGCTGATGAAAACAGCCATAGACAATACATACACAAATAGCTGTATTCCAATCAAACTTTGTTTAAAAAAACAGGTGGTCAGCCCCTAGGCAGGAGTTTGCTAACCCATGTTCTAGACTCTTCAAGAGAAAAACATAAGCCTTAAAATTCTGGGGTAGAAAGAACAATATCTTTCTGGCCTTAGCCTTTAAATCAACAGAAGGTTTAATGTCAGGAAGATTCTATTACAGCCCATAAAATTCCTATTTCTATATCAAGCATCTGACCAGGGTAATAGTGAGCCCGCTGAGCGATTTGTGCATGAAAGCCTGGAGCCAGTAACAGGAATAGTTCAGTTTCACATGTCCCTTAGAAAGATGAAACAATATTTAACTAATGAACCCACAGTGCCTGGGGCATGTTTTCAGATTAGGGAAATGATCTTTTATGGTTAAATTGCAGAGAATATGAGGGGGAAATTTTAGCAAAGGAGGGAAACATGATCACAATAGTTGACAGTGAAAATGTCTGGTTCAATCTTAGATTAGGGGATGGAGGGACAGTAAAATAGGGTATTTTGCTGAGTAATCCAGAAGGTATAATTTGATCCTGAACAACTAATGGCCTAAAAGAAGACTGCTTTCTCCTCTTTCATTCACAAATGATTTTTGAGTATTGTTAGTATTAACTCCAACACGTTGCCATCAGTACTTTTGGGTTCCCTAGGAAATTAATTTAGTTAAACTTAGAAGGTTTTATTAAAATGTCTTTACTGGCCCCTAATCCATAGTAGTACCTCTTTCTGTCTTTTTGGTGTACATGCCTTAATTCTTTTTTAATGTAATTCTGAAAGGCAAAACCATTCTATTAAAGGAGAATGACAAAATTTAGGAAAATTAAGGAATATAGTGATTGTGATAAAAAAAATTACACTTTAAGAATATGTACTTATACACACACACACACACACACACACACACGTACAAGTAAAATGGAAATCTGAATAAAATTGGTGGTATCTATCAATGTGAATATCCTGATTTCAATAGTATACAATAACTTTGCAAAAGGTTACTATTGGGGGATACTAGGCAGAGTATTTAAGACATCTGTATTTTTTCTCAAAAGTGCATGTGAATTTACCATTATCTCCATAAATTTTTCATTAGGATATATGTACTTACAACTAACACAGCAACATGTTGTCATATGTATGATCTGAAAAAAAAGAATAGATTACCATAGCAACAGACCCAAACACATATTCCTCCTTCTGAATAAATTATACTAGGAGCCTATTACAGTCCCACATTGAAGTGGTTAAATGACCACTTATAGAATTTAGAGATTTGTCTCACCTTTCTAGATTTTTCTTTCTGAAAAAATGAAGTTACTCCTGAAGAAAACTGGTTAAGGGGAGTATCTAGGAAATTTGTAACTCAAGAGGAGGTTTTTTCCATGTAATTTGAGAAGTTTGTGTTAACCTCACAAACACAACCCCATTTGAAAATGTTTCTTGAAATGTTAACTTAGTTAATTATATGAGAGGTTATATAAGGAATTCTTAAAGCCTCAGAATGTCTTAACCCATTCCTGCTTCCCACGCAGATGAAGGAAATATGAACAAATATGACTAAGGGCTCCAATTTTCATATCTGATTAATAATAACATATGACTTGAAATGGGAAATGCTGCTTTAAAATAGCCCCCACGTGAAAGGGTGTGTCCGTGACTGTTTGAACTAGGAAAAGGGAGAATCTAGCAATCACAACGTTGGAAAAACTTGTAAAATAGCGGAGAGTTTGAACTGGATCTTTGATGAAATTAGGGTTAACTTATAGGTCTGAGGTAGAAAAAAAAAGCCCCCTAATGCTTCTTGCTTCTTGCAGATTTCAAGGAGGCGTTTCTCCTGTTTGACAGGACAGGTGATAGCAAAATCACCTTAAGCCAGGTTGGTGATGTCCTCCGGGCTCTAGGCACAAATCCCACCAATGCAGAGGTCAAGAAGGTGCTGGGAAATCCCACCAATGAAGGTAACCCCATGTTTTCCCAATAAGTTGAGAAATATGTGGTGTGTGTATGTGTGTGTATGTGTGTGTGTGTGTGTGTGTGTGTGTGTGTGTGTGTTTCAGAGAAAGAGAGATTTATTAAGAAATAAGTTTCACAGAATAGGACTTAATTGGCTTTTGATGGTAAGTGTGCCACTTGACTAGAGTCAGTTTTTTCCCTCATAAAGTAAGTTAACCTTCCTTTGAGAATTTGCAAGCTTGATAAAATTTCATGCTAATGCAAGGAAATAATATTTAATGCTAACATCATTATCATCATCTTATCTTAATGCTCATAATTTAAAGGTTAATGAAATGAAATAATACCCAAATCTACAAATTTTTTCAAACCTTCAAAGGCAAAATTACATTTTGACAAAGATGTTAAATATGACTAAAACATAATGCACTTTGCAAATAACTCCAAGTAAATTATAATAGCACACCCCGAGAGGATGTCTACTCTGATAAAAGCCAGAGAAATGAAATCAATGTTTTCAGGGAGACAAAATACCTGCTAACTTTGCCCAATGGCCTATCTTTTAACACCCTGCTTCTGTAAGTCTCTTAAAGGAAACTCAGCTATCTTAATTAACAAAAACAGTATGACATCTTAATAAGAGTATTTTTTTATGTCCAGAGAATTACAAAAAGACCTAAAAATCTAAGCCAAACCTGCATTCAGTCACCAAGTTAAATCATGGGATCAAAGTCAATGACATACATGAGTGGCAAAATTGCAGAATTTAGTTGCTCAACACAGAAACAACCCAGTCTTCAGTCTAGAGCAAGAAAAAAAATTTTTAATCCCAAAGGTTCATGGCAAAATATAATAATCTATTGGAAAACAAACAACAACAACAAGACCAAATTGACGTTTTTTCAAGTAGATACATGGGCTGTTTATCTTTGCCATAGGGAAAAAAAGAAAACAAATACTTTCTTTTTTCTTTGATAATTAAAATGACAATTTTCTTGTGTTGCAAAAGAAAAAAATACTTCAAGAAAACCTAACTCTAAATCAGTCTGCTAGACTATTCATCACAGTTCATTTTCTTTGAAGGAAAATTTCCAGGTAAATCACACAAAATAATAGCTGAGAGAGTGAGATAAAGTAAAAGAATAGTAAGTCAAGTCTTCCTTCTTAAGTGCCATTTCTAACTTATCAAACATCCATCTTTAATGGAATTATTAAGTAAATATTCATTTATTCAGCATTTCCATTCAATCTTTTTACTATTATTTAATGTACTAGATTTGTATTCTATGAGGAGAGACTAGTAAAAGGGAATTCTGATTTTAGAGGTACATAACTATACACTGCATACATCTGGATAGTCCATTTTATATTTCCTGTGAATATGATTCACCTTGTCAAAAATTACTAAAGATAGTCCTATCATCTGCAGGCCTCTAAACTACAAAAAAGTCAGAAGATCACAAAAAATTTGACACACTCTTTCCTCATAAGCTTCTTTTTTAAATTAGCTAAAATTTAAAGAAATTGAAGGCCCTACAAAAGCTCAGGACAAAGTTGGACTATATATTAAAGTTCAATTAAGTTTTACTATATTTACATGCTAATGGGTTTATTTTATCAGTATAATTTTATATAGCTTCCCTAGTATTTATAAAAATATTAAATTAAGCCCGGCCAGTGTGGCTCAGTGGTTGAGCATTGACCTACAAACTAGGAGGTCTCAGTTCGATTCCTGGTCAGGGCACATGCTTGGGTTGTGGGCTCGGTCCCCAGTGGGGAGGCGTGCAGGAGGCAGCCGATCAATGATTCTCTCTCATTGATGTTTTATCTCTCTCTTCCCCTCCCTCTCCCTTCCTCTCTGAAATAAAAATCAATAAAAATATATTTTTAAAAATATTAAATTGACAATACTAATAAAATAGCAGCTAACATTAAGTATTCAGTTGTCCCAGGTATTGTGACAAACTTGGCTTGTGTCATCTTATTTACTAGTAATTCTCATACTAGCACTATGAAATATCTCTATTTTAGAGATGAAGAAGCTGAGACATAAATTGGTTAATAAACTTGCCCATAATCACATAGTTGTAAATGGTGGATTGGCGATAAAAGGTCAAGGACTAGGACTCCAGAGCTCAGGCTATTAACTATTACCAAATTTTTCTCATCAGCAACTTACCAACTGAAATTTTCACTGTATGAAGATTTTTCAGGTCATCTAGAATAAACTTTGAAGTTTAATTTGAGACTCAGAGATGGCATTTTATGTTTGCTAACACTCTCCAAATTGCAATTTCTTCCAGAGATGAATGTCAAGAAAATTGAGTTTGAACAATTTCTTCCCATGATGCAAGCTATTTCTAACAACAAGGAGCAGGGCACTTATGAAGACTTTGTTGAGGGTCTGCGTGTCTTTGACAAGGAAGGCAATGGCACGGTCATGGGTGCTGAACTCCGTCACGTTCTAGCCACACTGGGTAAGGATATTTTTTCTAGTGGAATTAGTAGGACAGAATATATAAGAAGGAGTATGACTTGAGGGAATCATGTTATAACCAAGGTAGATAAGGGGAAAGACTACAAAGGGAAAATGTAAAAGAATATTCAAAAGTTAACGACCATTTCAATTAACTACAGTGTCAATGAGTGAGTTTGGGGAAAATGGTAACATAAATTACTGGTAATGAATAGTAAAACACTGTAGTCCTCATGGGATATAGTTTGAATATCTATACTAATAAAAGCCTAGGTGGCCTTCGCTTGTGACGCCATCACAAAATGGCCGCCACAAGATGGCTGCTACAAGATGGCCACGCGCACAGCGGCTGCATGGCCCAGTGGTTGCTTCGTGTGGTGAGGCCTGGGGGTCCCGCGGCTTCACACAGCATGGAGGTAGCTGGTCCCAGCGTCTCCGCCACCTCACGGAGGAGGCAGGTCGTGTCAGGGGAGGGCAGTTGTGGGCAATCAGGCCGGCAGGGGAGGTCAATGGTAGGAGATCAGGCTGGCAGGCAGAAGCGGTTTGGGGCTATCAGGCAGCAGGCAGGTGAGCAGTTGGACTCAGCGGTCCCGGATTGTGAGAAGGATGTCCAATTGCTGGTTTAGGCCGGGATGGGGCATAAACCGGCAGATCGGGCCTAAACCGGCAGTTGGACATTCCCCGAGGGGTCCCGGATTGGAGAGGGTGCAGGCTGGGCTGAGGGGCCTCTAGTTCGTATATAATGTGCACTTAATTCACTGACTCAAAAACATTTATTGGCAACCTACTAAGTGCGAGAGGAATAAGAAGGGCTTGGTTCCTATCCTCCGAGAGCTTAGTCATAGTCTCCAGGAGTTCCAAACTGATCGCTTACGGTGGAATTTTGAAAATATTCTCTGACTTCCTTTCTGAACAAAGACTTTTGCTTCATCAGGTGAAAAGATGAGAGAGGAAGAAGTGGAAACGCTGTTGCAAGGTCAAGAAGACTCCAATGGATGCATCAACTATGAAGGTACAATCTCATGTGCTCTGGTAGTTACTACATCTCTTAAATGATTAGATTGATTATGGACTCCTTTTGAACTTAAAATAATTTCTTTTTCTTCACCTCCCTTATTAACATACACATGCTACTTATTATCAATGAACTATATAATAACTCTAACTCTAAAAAGATATCTTGTGAAGATTTGAATATCTATAATAATAAAAGCATAATATGCTAAGTAGGCCAGATGACCTTCTGGACGAAGTCAGCGTTGCGAGGGAAGCACCGGCTCCGGGTGCCAGAGGGAAGCCAGTGCCAGCAGCCAGGGAAAGGAAGGCCTACTCTTGCACAAATTTCGTGCATCGGGCCTCTAGTATACATATACAAGATTTACTCCAGTGGGTTTTAGCACGCTTGTATATTGTTATACAGCTTAAAAATGTGTTTTCACGTGTACTTTTCTTGTTAGACCTTTATCACATCTCTTTAATATAGACAGGGTTGTGTTAGAATAAAATTTATTAGAATATTAAAGTTGGAGAGATCTTAAAATCCTTTACATAAAAGAATTATAAAATGAGGAAATTGAGGGGCCAAAAAGTTTAGTTATTAGTGAAGGTCACATCATTAATGATAGGCATGGTGCTATATGAAAGTCCTCTCATAGTGTCCAATTATCTATTTCCTGCTACCAATCTACAGCAGCTTCACCCAGAGGATCTGAAAAGCAACACACTACACAAAATAAAGATGCAAAATAAAGTTGCATGATATAACATGTAAATTAAAATTTTCCAATAAAATTGAGAAACTTATCTATTCCCCTAAAATGCTAATCTAGTCACATTTCAATAAAGCTATGTTGATAGATTTTTTTAAAATTGATTTCAGAAAGGAAGGGAGAGGGAGAGAGAGAAAGAAATATCAATGATGAGAGAGAATCATTGATTGGCTGCCTCCTGCATGCGCCCTACTGGGGATCCAGCCTGAAACCCAGGCATGTGCCCTGACCGGAAATCGAATTGTAACCCACGGTTCATAGGTCAACGCTCAACCACCGAGCCACACTGGCAGGGCTGTTGTTAGATTTCATGTAAATTTAGACTTGTGAAGTCTGATGACTAGAGGAAAAGGGAAAAAAAAGAAAAGCAGAGAGAAGAGGGGAAGAAAGAAGAAGAAGAAGAGAGAGAGAGAGAGAGAAAGAGAGAGAGAGAGAGAGAGAGAAGAGGACAGGAGAAAAGGAAAGTACTCAGCCAAGCATACCTTCACTGACAATCTTAATTAAACTTCACTTCTTTCCCATAAACAATATTTTAAATTTGGTTATTATCTTAAGTATATTACATAAAAGAAGAATCATTCAATAAATACTGTTTGGACAAGTGGATAGTAATCTAGAAAATTAAATCAGATCTGGATCTTATACCATAATAAATTCCAAATGGGTCAAGCATTTAAATGTAAAAGAAAAAAGCATAAAAGCCACAGAAGAATTATTTTATAGCTTTTGGAACTGGAAGACCTCTCTAATACTTATATAAAACCCAGAAGGCACTTCAAATTTTGACAAATTCAACCATATAATATTTTTTAATTTATATGGCAAAAGCCACCAGAAGCAGAGTTAAAAGACAAATAGCAGACAAAAATATATATATATATATTTGCAATCAGTATTGCAAAGAGCTCATTTTCCTAATAAAAAGCAATTACAAATTTATAAAAAGACCACAACCTAATAAAAAAACTAATAGATATATGAACAGACACTTCATAGAAAAGAAAAGTATATACACAAATACAATAGAATATGCTAAACTTCATTAATAACAAGAGAAATGCAGATTGATACTACACTGAAATACCATTTTTAAATAAGCTGATTGCTGAAGATTAACAGTTTGACCAAACTTTGGGGTGAGAAGAATGTGTAGAAAAAGCCGATCTTATGCATTCCTGCTGGGAATGTAAATCATTTAAATCCCTGCGTGGTGATGGGGTACTAACAGATCTAACAAATCTACTTCAAGGAATGTAGACATTCTTGCAGTCAAGTGAATGAGTGATACATGGTTATTTGTCAGTAGTGCTGTTTGTGATGGTCAAATATTTGAACAACTTAATGTTAATCAATGTAGGATGTATCATATAGATTCCAGTACATCTACACAATGAAATACCCTACAGCCCTAAAAAAAAATGACATTCTCGTTTATGGTTATGGTAACATCTCCAAGTGTATTACTGAGAAAAATAAGTGCAAAAGAATTTGCAGAGTATGCCACCATTCGTGTAAAAAAAATTTTTATAAACATATATTTGGCCCTAGCTGGTTTGGCTCAGTGAATAGAGCGTTGGCCTGAGGACTGAAAGGTCCCAGGTTTGATGCCAGTCAAGGGCACATGCCCACGTTGCAGGCTCTGTCCCCATTGGGGGGCATGCAGGAGACAGCCAATCAATGATTTTCTCTCATCATTGATGTTTCCATCTCTCTCTCCCTCTCCCTTCCTCTCTGAAATCAATAAAACTATATTTTTTAAAAAGAAGCATATATTTATATTCTCTCATATGCACTTAATAGCTCTATGAACTTAGCTATAAAGGAGAAACTAAATATCTGGGAGACAGTGGTGAGAAACTTTTTTTTTGTTATAAACTCTTTCATACTTTAAAGAAGAAAAATTTAATCGTGTGAATGTACCCCTTACTCAAAAATTAAATTTATAAAATCAGGGAAAGGTCATAAATCCAGGAATAAGTACAGCGGGCTGTACAGAGCATAAAAAATAAGCTCCAGTGTTATAGCTAAGATTAATTAAGATTGAAGTAACTTCAGAACCTCTTTTTTTTATTAAATTTGACTGTTTTCTAACTCTCAACTGTCTGTATTGTGCCTACAGCTTTTGTCAAGCATATCATGTCTATCTAAATGGAGCTCTCAAGGTATATATGTTTCCTCTTTACTATTTAGACTTTCTTGATTTTTTTTATTTTCTTTAACTGCTTCACTTTATATTCTGTCGATATAATTAGTATTATTTCTTAAAAGTTATTTATATGAACCAGAAAACTTCAACTCCCTGAAATGAGTTATTTAGAAATAGATCACTTTGTATAAGCAAAAACCTCAGAAGTTTAATACATAAATCCTATCTTTGTACCATAAGTATGCAATGGAGAGTCAACAATCCAGAGTAGTTAATTAATTTAGTTGGAACGTAACACTAATAAAAGTATGGGCCTACGTTTTCTGAATAACACATAGTTTTTAACAGTTACCACTCTAGCAAACCATGTTATCACAGTTAAGCACTTGCTACCATGTTCTTACAACGAGGAAATAGTTTACCTTGAAAGTGTTGGCTCATTTGTGTTTTTTCTTCTTTTCACTTCACATTAAAATAAAAATCCAACTCATTTCCTTTTTTCTTTACAGATCAAGCATTGTTTAGGAAGACTGGCTGGAAACTTATTTATAACACCCATGTCCAGATCTGTTTACCATCGTTCAGAAAAACAAAACAATGTAGACCATTCTAGACTGAGGACTTCCTGAATTTTTTTATACCTACATTTCTCTCTGAATTGCATTCATATAACACAAACCAAGTGTCTCCCGCTCTAGACAAGGATAAAATACTGACAATCTCAAACCCAAGCACCACTCTTTATCTTCTACCATGGGTCAATTAACATCCTTAAATTAAAAGAGCAATAAATAATTTTGGTCAGTCTGGAATATTCAAGTTGCATTGTGTTTTTATCTTCTTAGAGAAAATAATTTTTAAAACCTCAATTCTGTTGTTCATGTATAGAATATAGATGAATTAAAAGAACAAATCAGTACAGTCTATATAGAAAATAACAGAACGAATAGTAGTGATAATCATATATTATTGAAAAAGTGAAATGGAGCCCTAGCTGGTTTGGCTCAGTGGACAGAGCATTGGCCTGTGGACTCAAGGGTCCTGGGTTCAATTCCAGTCAAGGGCACATGCCCAGGTTGTGGGCTTGATCCCCAGTAGGGGGCATGCAGGAGGCAGCCAATCAATGATTCTCTCTCATCATTGATGTTTCTATCTCTCCCTCTCCCTTCCTCTATGAAATCAATAACAATAAAAATTAAGAAAGAGAGAGAGAGAGAGAGAGAGAGAGAGAGAGAGAGAGAAAGAAAGAAAGAAAGAAAGAAAGAAAGAAAGAAAGAAAGAAAGAAAGAAATGGAGAACTGAAGAAATTCAGAGGACCAGAGATGTTTTAATATAAACTACCCAGGCAATTCAAGATGAAAGCAGGCTTCCTCAGTTTCATGTAAATCATTGTATTCATGGTTTGAACTATTTCACTTCTAGTGATAATCTGGCCTATTAGAAAATTCTAATAAGCCATAATCCCTCTCACTGAATGTCTTCAAGGATAATATTTAACGCACCTTTCAGCTGTCACTTAAAAAACCTCTCTGGGATAAGACTGTTATTCAAGAACATAGCTATTAATATGCTGTCTCCTGCTATGCTCCCCTCTACTTCACATGCCTGTGTCCCCAAATCTTGGTTCAATCTTCTAATGCATGTCTTAAATGGTAAAATAATTCATAGAAAAATTCAAAGTGTAAACTTACTTTACCATATCATAATGCTATCATGTCACTTTTCTTCAGAACAAAGGCAGAATTTGCAAGCTAATAGTTGTATATTTAGAAGAGATGCGGTGATAAATAGTTCTCCCACTCTCTCAAAAGATATCAGAAATATAGGAGATTATACAATCTCTGAAAAGTACCTGCCTGCCTAGACATTTTTGGAAGCTGAAACAACTTTTTCCTGATGTTAGGTGTTTCATGACCACATGCTCCTCAACTCTAGCAAAGGTCTCTCGGATTCCAGTAATCAACAGCTTCAACTCTGACTTAGGCTTTTGTAGCCAAGATGATGTTGGGACATTACATTCAGTCATAAGGGAAATTCACAATGGCCTCAAGATCTTTAAGACTGAGTTAGCCTAAGACCAGGAACTGGAAATTTCACACAGCACCGTCCAGCAGAACTTGCAGTAAATCTGTATCTACATTGTTCTATTGGGTAACCACTAGCCACATGTGGCTACTGAGCACTTGAACTGTGGCTAGTGTGACTGTGGAATTGAATGTTTAATTGTATCTCATTTTAATTAATTTAAATAGACACATGTGGCTCGTGACAACCATACTGAACAATGCAGGTTTCAATACATAAGGCAATAAAAAATGTTTTTATTTTTACTTATAAATGTCACCACGTAGAGAAGTTGACTGGCACAAAGAGCCCAATCATAAAAGGCTAATTTTGGGGGGAAATATGTAGTTAAATTTCCTATCTTTTATACTCCTTTAACATCTTTCACTTAGAAAAATGTGACAAAGTTTTTGTCGCAAGCTTCATATTTAATATTTTTCCCACAAGACTTTATAAAACTGCTTTAACTCCACAGGGGATAACATCTAGTACACTGTCATGGGACCTAACCTTATTAAATTACCATGTGTGAAGTATCCACAACTCAAGTAGCAGCAGGTGCAAAACAGAGTAGCGGGTGAAAGAGTGACAGTAATTTTTAACATCTACACCAGCTGGTGAAAATGACAGGTGCTTAATTCCTCAGTCTTTAAAAATAACTTTTGAAAAGCCTTCACTGGATAAGCAAATACTTTTAAATTTTTTAAACTATCTTCAAGTTACTTCCTGACCAAAAAAACCCCCAAAACATTATTTTTGCCTCAACATATATTTGAAACTTATGTCACAGGAATTTAGTTTATCCTCCTCTATGAAAAAAAATAAATGTTATTAAGTTGGAGAAGTAAACTTTTATTTTTAGACATCATGATAATATTTCTCAAGAAACACTATATCAGAAAGAACTCTTCATATATCTTTCTCTAATTGTACTTACATATCTTTTTTGATATTAGAAAATATAACTTGGAACTTAATAGAATGGAGAAAAATGTCTTCCTTTAAATTCTAAGCCTAGAGAAAACCATGAATCTATAGATTGTTCAGAAAACCAAGTCTATATCCCAAAAGAACAGAGAAGATTAAACAGCAAGTATCTGGAGTCCAGACTAAAGAGTTACGCTCCCTCGAACTGTCAATATAAGGGCAGTTAAGGAAGAGCTAAATGGTAGAATAATTCAGGCCATGATCTCAATTTGACAATTTGATGAGGGATCCCTAGAATAAGGAAAGTCAATGCCAAAGAAAGAGTGATGGGGTTCCAAACACCTGCTGGGAATCTTTCCATAAACTTCATATCAAGATAAATTAACATTCGGTAGGAAAAATAATTGGCTATACCTTCCTTGGCCTTCAGGTGCCAGTACCTACACTGAGGCTGGCCAAGGCTACCTTGCTTCCACCATGGCCATGCAAAACTGAGAAGCAGAATTAATATTGGCCAGGGATCCTTTGGCCCATGTCCCAGACCCCACACTTGAGAAGGCTCCACTCATTCTCCTCCAGCCACACACCGCCAGAGCCAAGGATTCTTCCCAGAAATAGCGCATGCCACTTCCAGAGCTCTTGTTACTATTCCTTGACCACACTTTGGATACCCAGGACCCCAGAATTCCCTGCCCAAATGACCCCTACTCTCTCTTCTAGGACCTGTGGTATCCTTCCTAGGTCCATTCTCCTAAGGGGAGACTGTCACAAGTATGTGCAAACCAAAGACCAAGGGGTGGCCAAAGCCAATTTACATCTTGTTTGGTTGAGTTAAGCACATGGCCCTGGAGCTGGGGGTTGGAATCAGAGAGCAGGTCACCACTCTCTTGGACCCCCAGATGGGTAACTTTGATTATATCATACATAAAATAGAATATTTACAAAGCCCTGTTATGAGAATTAAATGACAAAACATAGATAAAGTGCCTAAATAAGGACAATTTACCACAAGGGTTAAATATACAAAATGGTGGCTAATATAATCATCATTTCTTGAAATTACTATGAAAGTTCCTATTCAGAAAAATTATTTTACATCTTCCAAGACTTTGCTCAGGTACCTACCTCTTCCATTGACTTTTCCCCCTTTCATCCACTCATGACCACCCACCATTGTGTGCCTATAGCATCTTGTACCTATTATCGTGTTTATGATACAGCATAATTATTTATTTGCATCACAAGATATCTATATCCCCAGAACCTAGAATGGTGCCTGACTCATGGTTGGCACTAAATAAATGTTTTTAAAGCATGATTGAATGTATGAGTGAAACTGTTCCTATGTCTTCTATCCCCTTAACTTTGAAGGTAAGAAACATGTCCTACTGACATTTGTATCCTGAATGTTTAGATGAGTAATAAAGCCCGATAAGTCCTCAATAAAAATTTAGTGAATGTATTCATGAACTAATGAACAAGAATATGCTGATGAGTGAAAATTCCTACATTAGTAATAAGAGGAACCTGAAGGATATATCCCATGATTTGAAAAGACAAGGATAAAGCTATTTTTGTTAGGCAGTACTTTGCAAGAAGGTTCAGTGTTACATTGATTTCAGTAACTATTGCTAAATAATTTTGTTGCTGGTCTGTTGGTTTCTTTGCTTAGCTTTTCCTCTCATAATGTGACGTGTGCACTATCCAAGATGAAGTTAGAGCAAAGCGTAAGAGTGCTTCCAAGTAAAACCACTTGGTTTGCTTTCTGCATTGGTGGTCCGGAAGCTCAGAACCAACTTAATATATTTCCCAATTCTCCCCATACAATTATTTTGTTCTTTTCTTTATATCTTTTTTTGTACCTCAATCATTACCTTTACTTTAACTGCCCTGTTGAAATGCTTTTACTGTCAGCCATATCAAATCTGCTTGGAAAGCTTGGTGGTACAAACTATAATAACCATATTGATAAACTTCATGGTTTCATCTTTCCAGATATAAACTTTATTTACTACCCATGAAAATCAACTTCCTGGATCAAATTTTAAAAAGGTGATAAAATGGTTCGTAAGGTTTCTGGACATCAAGCATTTTCTACCAAATAATATTTCAATGAGTAATGTGTAACTAAATCAGAAACAGATTTAATATCCCTTGAAGTTCACATGGCTTTAGACTAAGAGTTAACATATATTGTTTGCTGAGTTTGCTAAACCCAGAGAAAAAGAGAATTAGCTAAAGTTTTCTAAACAAACAAAATTCTAATTTATTTCTGTTCAAACTGAAAAAAATATTGAAATTGACAAGTGTCATAATACTATAGTAGAAACTATGAAGACCCCCCCAATGGAGTAATAATAATAAAATGGACTCTCATTGTGGATTTCCTTACTGTAGAGACCAAACTGAGATTTGAAAATCCCTTCATAATAACATATACTGTTCTTTATAAACTGAGTTGTGTAGAACAAGAAGCCATTACACACACTGACGACATTTTTTTTCCAAATGGCAATCTCTTGATTCTTAAAGAGATAGAAATTAACTATTCATTTCACATAGATTTTTCTCTTAGAGAAAGAATAAAAAGATTGGTGGTTACCAGAGGGGAGAAAGGGGGAGGGGTTTAATGAATGAAAATAGGTGAAGGAAGTTGAGAGGTACAAACTTCCAGTTACAAAATAAATAAGATTTTGGGATTTGATGTACAAAAACAATAATAAGTACTAGGATGTAATATACAACATGATCACTGTCGTATGATATATAGGAAAGTTGTTAAGAGAGTGGATCCTGACTGGCCAGTGTAGCTCAGTGGTTGAG